GGGCGGCGAGCCCGAGAGGGCGCCGCGCCGGGCTGCAGCGTCGCGGCGGCCGCCGAGCCCGAGCCGCCCAGGGGTGACCTGCTAGCCTCCCTCCCCAGCCCGGAGCAGAGCTGGAGCCTCCCTGGTCCCCTCTTCTTCTTTGGTCCCTTCTGCCCAGGCGCCCTGCTCTCTGCTGCTCACTGCTGCTCAATGCATCTACTTCTCCCTTCCCACCGCCCCCAATGCACCCCGTGCCCCATACCTGCCCCCCCAGCAGGGTAAACTTGCTGCCACGCGCTGGCCTGGGAAGCTGACGTCACCTGTTTACATTGCACCAAGTTAGTTCAGCTTGTGGATTAAGTGGCTAGGCCGTGGGATGGAGACACCAAAGAAGTCTTCAGCCTGATTAAATTTAATATGCTCCATAACTTCCTAAGGAAGAGTCTATACAGTAAGACTGAGCCTTACATTTATTTTTGTTTGTAAGGATACTTGAACCGTCTTTCATTGGTTTAGCCACGGATTATTAATTCATATGCTAGCAGGAGCACCAGCCCTAGCTCTAGCTAATATTTATTTTGCTGTCGTTATGTGCCTGGCACTGTTCTGGCAAGGCCTCCACGTTATGGGAATTGGGAGCGCAGGGGGAGATGATGTGTAACCTGGCAGGCGCTGAAATCCAACCCATCTCTTCTTGCCCCACCCCCACCCCAAGCATCCTGGAGAGGGCTGTGTGCAGAGCAATGAGGACCTTTTTCTTCCAGTTTTCTCAGTAGTTTCATATGTGGTAATAGTGACCATATAACACTCCTTAATACTTGACCTGTGTTAACTCATTTAACTTCCACTGCTCCCCGATTCTGTAAGTACTGGTACATACTAGTAGAACCCCCCTATTTAGAGGAGGAAACTGAGGCACAAGAGATGAAATAATTTTTACCAAGAGTGTGGAAAAGTCAGTGGCAGATCCAAAATTCCATCTCAAACTTTAATGTCTAGGTCTCATTACCTGTGCAGGTACCCAGCAGACACCCTAAACCCCAAACCAGGGAGACCTCAGGATGCCAAGTTCTTAAGAACCTAGTAAGCATTTGCCGAGACAAGGATAAACAACATACTTGTTCTAGGTCTTGCATCATGACAACGTTGAGACAGTGGAGTACTAAAGTCTAGAATCCCTGGCATTAAGAATTTCATGTTAGGGCCGGCTCCGTGGCATAGCGGTTAAGTGCGCGCGCTCTGATGCTGGCGGCCTGGGTTCGGATCCCGGGAGCGCCCCGAGGCACCACTTCTCCGTCCAACGTGAGGCCGAGTCCCACGTACAGCAACTAAAAGGATGTGAACCTATGACATACAACTGTCTGCCGGGGCTTTGGGGGGAAAAAAACTGAATAAATAAAAAAAATCTTTAAAAAAAAAAAAAAAAAGAATTTCATGTTACCCAGGTCAGTGGTGAGACTTCCAGCCACCCACATGGTGCTGGAAGGAGAGGAGAGAAGAAGGTCTCTGTCCTTCTGGCATAGACTGACACAGTGGTGTGCCTGAAAAGGGGTCTGGATGGCCTGGTCTGGGTTTTCTCATGGAAGGAGTGCAGGCAGTGCCCAAGCTGCTGCCCAAGGAGGGCGCCCAGGGTGTCACATCACTGTGGGAAGTCTGACCCTCATCCTTGCGGGTCTGCAGGTACATACCCCATGACGGTGTGTTTAAAATGATAGTCTGAATACCCCCATTTGCCCTTCAGAGCGCCTTCTTTCCAAGTTCTGCGGGGCCTGGAGGCCCCATCAATCATCCAAAAGCTACTCTGTGAAAATAAATCCGAGCAAAGGTGGCAGAGTTTGAGGCCCATTTCATCCAAAGCATGGGGAAACCCAGTGCTGCACAGCAGAAGACACTCTTTGTTTGACCAGAACGTCCATGCCCCCCTTAGCATTCTTATTCCCTGGACAGTCCTGGACACACAGGTCAAACCTACCTCAAAGCTCAAACTCTGCTGTCCCTCTGCTGGGCAAGCTCCTCCCAGACCTCTCTACTTCTCACCATTCATCCTTTGGATTTCCACTCAAATGTCGCTTCCCGGCAAATCTCTCCTGTTGCTTCCTCCCCGACCCCAATCTCAATCAGATCTCCTGTCTACTCTTTATAGCACTCTGCACTTTTCTTTATAATACTACGGTTTGTAATGTTGTGTTGATTCATTTAATGTCTGTCTCCTCAACTAGATCCTTAGCTCACCAGGCAGAGATTGTGGGAGGCCACCCACCCCCTCAGCCCCCGGTGCCCAGCCTCACACCTGCACAGCACCGGTGCTCAATAAATATAATAAATGAACTCACCTGGCCCTGCACTAACTAGCATAGGTACCTTGGAGAAACCACATACATTTTCTTTCTGATCCTCAGTCCCATCTCTAAAATGAACCAAGAAACAACAATTTAGGTCACAACTGTTTCCTAAGAGTTTGCCCATGCTCCAAGCCCTCCTGTAGATGATCTATCCACCCGTAGGCATTAATACTAACTAGTCTGTCCTCAGCAAACTGCACAGTAAGTGAAGACCTGCTGCTCTTTAATGAAGAACATTTCCTGCCCTTGTCTGTGCCTCTCAATTGCACACCCCATTCAGGGAAGCCCCCCATCCCCAGCACAGTATGCCCTCTGCTAAACATGTTTTCTCTTCTCATCCTGGAGGAAATAAGACCTTCCCTTCTTTCTCGACTGGTTGTTAGTAAAGCATCTTATACATTCTTTCTCACTAAAGTGTGAGTAACTGATAGCAGGACGTAAGCATTGAGCCCTGTATAAGTTTGTCAAGGGGAAGCCTTTTATTCATCCAGCAAAACTATTGGGTGTCTTGTTGGTGAGCAGCAGTATGAATCTGAGAAACGTAATGTTTGTAAAGCACTTACTGTGAGCCAGTATTGTGGTCAAGCATGGAACACGCGTTCTTATTTCATCTGCAGAACCATCCTGTGCCACAGGACCAGTAGAGACTCATCTCCTCAGAGACCGAGGCTCAGAGAGGCCACACAGCCTGCCCCAGGTTTCACAGCTAGGCAGGGCCAGGGCAGGACAGGAATCCAGGTCTATCTCTAACAGACGTGCTACAATCACAAGGCCGAGTGGTAAGTGATGTGGCATGGGGACAACAGAGCCTGGGGGAGGGGTATCCCGTGCTGACAGCTAATGCGTCAGAAAAGGTTTAGAACGTCTAATTACTCCTCTTCAAGTACGTTATACAAACAGGATTTTACATTTTCCTTTTAAATCTCAGATTTTAAATAGTGACACAAAATTAAAGAATAACAGTGCAAGTTAGAAAACACAAACCTGAAAGGAGACAAAAATAAAACCAGAAAGGTAGCAGTTATATCATAAACATTATGATATGGTCAAGACTTTGAACATAAAACCAACCAACAGGACTTGTGAGTGTTATGAAGAAGGGTTAACTGTGAAAAATAATGAACTTCTCCTTTGGGTTAAATTTGGATGTGGTTACAGTTCCGGGTTAATGGACATTTCTGTCACATACAATGCTCAGCAGGTGTGCAGATGTGTGTCGAGCTTGGTGCTGTGAATGAAAGTTGGCCGAGATACATTCCCTGTGAGTTCCCCCTCGCCTCTACGTTCGAGTCTGCAACGAGGAGAGATGTTTAAATCATGCTTCTCAGTTTCTTTCACTATTTCAGAAAGTATGAGCTCCATGCAGAAGGTAAACTCAGAAGAATGGACACCTAGGTCTTTATATGAGTTTATCTTTCTTTATAGGTGTCAGCCAGAATATGGCTCCTGACCTGAACTCAGCAAAGAAGTTGTTCATTTTCTTAGGAAAATCAGTGTTTGCTCTTCTGGAGGCTATGGTTTTTGCCTTAATCCCAAAGCCACGGAAGGACGTAGCTGGTGAGATCGTACTCGTAACAGGCGCTGGGAGCGGACTCGGAAGGCTCTTAGCCCTCAGCTTTGCCCACCTTGGATCTGTGCTCGTTCTCTGGGATATCAGCAAGGAGGGGAATGAGGAGACGTGCAAGATGGCTCGGGAAGCTGGAGCCACAAGAGTTTATGCCTATACCTGTGATTGCAGTCGAAGAGAGGAAGTGTATAGAGTGGCCGATCAGGTAAATCTTGGGCGCTTACTGGGTGGCAAGAACTCCATGTAAATCCTTTGACATATATCAGTTTCTTTGTCTATTTCCCTTTCTCAGTGCCAATTTGCATGTCTCCAACATGTCTTTAATTTAAAAAATCTTGGGGAGTAGGAATTAGGATTCTTGAGTTCTCACTGTATGCAATACACCATGCTAAGCACCCTGTATTATATCATAATCCTGTAAAGAATAGCCCATTATTATCTCCACTTCACAAAGAAGGAAACTGAGACTTAGGGCAGGTAGGTCACTTACCTAAGAAACGTAGCTAATAAGTAGCCCAGCTGCAGCTGGACTTGAGTCTGTTGACTCCGAGTACATGCTCTAACCACCACGCTCTGCTGGCTGTGCTGGCCCCTAGTACCGTACAAGAGGTAGGTGGTAGCACCCTTCTTCGAGGATAAAGAAACTGACACACAGAGATGTTAAATAACCTGCTCAGGGTCACAGAGCCAGTGCATGACTGAGGATTTGAACCCATATTTAGTCTGACTTTAAATCCGGCTATTTCCACCCCACCACAATGCCTTTCATTTGAATGTGTATTTCTCTTAAGCATTCATAAGAAAATCAGAATATTTTATTCATCCTAAGGACTCTTAACTGCAGTTGCTCCTTGGGTGATGAGATGCACGTGTAAAGAACACTTGCAGGAAACCACAGCTCCAATATGCCAATAGTAGGGATTTTCTTTGTTCGTAGAGGCACATGCTTGTTTGATGGCCGTCTCCTGTCCTTCATAAGGATTTCTCTGTCCTCATGTTGGCGTGACTACTCCACACGTCACTCTCCTGGGCCACTTTTTCTGTGGCACCCAGAATTCCCCAGTTTGGTGAGAAGGAAGGAACCAGACCAGCCTCCAACAAGCAGCCGAGTCACCTTGGAAAGTTCTTGCACAAACAGCTTCTAGGCTCTAACTCAAATCCCCTTGCTACTTCCCACCTCACTTTCTAGTGGAAAGGTTTGCAGGTCACTGGCGGTTGAGTGTGTAACTTTTGTTGAAGTTTGTCTTTACATTTTACACATCTCTTACTACCGTCTCCAATCACAGGCTGCCTGGTACAGTCGGGAGACCCAAACCTGACAAGCTAGCATGGGCTTACGTGGGACCACCCTTCAAAGTGCGGTTGTGTCTGCTGTAGCCGACCTCACAAACTCAGCTCTTTGCACTTGAAGCACTTATTCCCTGGCACGTTGACTTCCCTGACTACAAACCACTGCTCTGGCCACTCTTAAGCAGTCACTCATTCGTGTTCAAACACTAAAGACCCTCAGATATTGAGCAAGCTAATATAAGGCGCTCTATAAATTGCCTCCCTCTTCCCCATAGCTGTGATTTAGTTCTGCCCAAGATGCTTAGCTTCAGAAATGGTCAAACATAGCATATTACTAGCTTATTCAGCCTTTCTTACTTTTGGGTCTTGGAGAGAATTAATTATATGCTCTTCAGGGGAAGCTAACTACTCTCCACCCTTATAAACCAACCATTTCCGCTTCTTATTCTGGAGAGAGGGAAGGGACCAGAGGATTTTAAGCAGCTCCCATAGTGGAGTGATCAAGGTGAAAATTTTCAGGGTGGTGTGACATGGTTTTATCTCCACAGACCCCAAGTACTTTGAAAGCTTGTGTCCGTAGATCATAGCACTAAGTTGAGAAAGGCCAGCCTTGCCACTTGGTATCCTGGATGAGAGGTTATTTTGAACAACAAACACAAGAGCAGATGGAGTTATCTAGTTGTCACTCATCCTTGATGTGGCATGTAGAAGTGTCCCAACTATACATTTAATGACTGTGATCCCTTAGACAAGCCAAATCAGAACTGATTTTGCTTAGCATACCTCTAATTGACGGCAGTGGTTCAACAGCAAAAAAAAAGAAAATGAAAAAAGATAAACAACACTTTCATTTGTAGTATCTGTGAAAATTTCTTAAGGTTTTTTGCTGGTTCCTGATGTCCAAGGTCTAATTTCAGGATTTTTTCATCTTTTAAACCACGTGGTCACTGGTAGAAGTGACCTTCCTCTGTTGCCTACTAATAAGTAGTGGTTGGGCAATTCACATCAGCCATCCTGGGCTGTTCAGGGCCAGACGCTGACATGCATGGCCTTCCTGCAGATTCTCGTTTTCATAGCGTGGATGTTCATGGAGAAATCCCTGCTGGCAGGCGGGCACGGCTTATATGTGAGTCTTTCTAGAGTTGTCATCTGGCCTTGAACAGACTGTTGTCACATTCTTACAATAAGGATAATAATGAACGCTAGAAAGGAAAATTAGTTCAAAACTAGAATCTGTTGCATTCTCCCTCAGAGATTACCCTTGGGCCCCTTATAAAACAGCACAATACCAACAAGCTTACTCTCATCTCAAGGATGAACGTTTTATTGTGTTATTATTGGTCAGCAATAGTTAAAGATATAGTTAAGTCACATACAGTTAAACCTAATCCCTTTTCTCCCTAATGTAGCAGAGGCTGAACGCTCTTGATACCTTTCCATGCTTAATTTAAAGGAAAAAAGTAGACTTTGGAGCAAGATAAGCCTTTGAAAAAGATAACCCTATTTACAAAATAGATACTACGAGGGAAGACTATTCACGTGAAAAATCCTGAATTTTTGTATTCTGCAAAGATGCATGGATAATAAAACCCTAGGTGCCTACTTTGAAATTAAAGTCTGATGCTCACATTATGGAGTGCATGATAACATGCTTTCTTTATTCATATGAGAGGTGGTGGTCGAATACATGTACCTGGTGATTTCTCTTAGATGTAACTTCTAGCCTTGCCATCCCTGGCTCTGACCTAGGACAGCAGCCTCTAATGCTGGTGCTGGCTTCCAGCCCACATCCTTATCTGGCTTTTGATTTTGCCTCAGGTAGGGCTTACCTGCTTGTTTGTAGCCTTGACCTTTGTTCAATTTGGATTTGACTAAATATTTTAGCCACTCTTCAAATCAGACTTTAAGTTGGATTGTTTCCAGTGCTTTTATCTGAAAACTCTAACATAAAATGTGAAGTCTCCTTAGTCTCTATTTCATCCTCGATTTTCTCAAGGCTACAGATCTAATTGGCTAGTAAATACTTAACACATGTCAGCTTCGTTGATGGGACCCAGGCGTTCCACAACAGCAGATGAGAAAAGTGGAAGCTTTCACCTGACTTCAGTAATATGTCCTCTACTGTACCAAACTGCGCCATCCATACAGGCAGGTGCACACACACACACACACATACCATGCAGACATGTACACACGTACACACACAGCTAGAGATGTAAGTGGTACTGCTGTGAGCCTCCTGTGCAGTATATGGCAACTGCAACTAGTGGTTCCCTATTATTTTGGGGACAGGGCCCCTGCTGTGTGATAGGTTACTGTAATGAAATTCAAAACACAAAGAGGAACAAAGGGACAGCACTGTCTCCTGTCGTCGGTCCTGGAAAATCTGTGCTCATTTCTGACATAGCCTGGGTTACACGCTAAAGATTTGATAGAAGGGAAGGCTCCAATGTCACATCCAGAATTTTTATTTCTTAAATAAAAGTTACTGAGTACCTACTCTGGCCAGTGTTACAGCAGCAAACAGGGCCTACTCTGATTCTCCCTTCACTCCCTCATGTTATGCCTAAAAGTGTGTGGTACAGAGGAGAAAACGAGTGTTGCCCATAAACAAATAGACAGTTATTTCTCTAGCAAAAAACAGGTTCATTCAGGATCAGCAAAGAATTGCACTTCAGGGTCTGCAACCATGGTGAGCCACGTGCAAGCCCAGAGCAGCAAGGGAGGAGAAACTCTTCTATAGAGGGGAGGAGGAAGTTGGGAGGGCTGTTGTAAACAAAGAGTTCGAGGCATAGTGGCTCTTCATTGGCTGAGCTGTGACAGTCTCTCATTGGCTGAGCTTCTTGCTGGTCAAGAAGAGGAAGTCTTTCTTCTTCCTGTTGGGCTCTGCTATTGACTTGAGAGCTCCCCCTTTTGGCTTCCCAACTCCAATTTAATGAGCTTTCTGTTTATTAATTTCCCCATTTTCCCCTTTTGATCAAGATCTTTCTCTGAAAGCATTACTAATCAAGAGTCAGGTTTTTCCAGTTTCAGGAGCCTTTTGTCTCTCAATGCCAGGAAGGACCTTTCCTAGCTGTTGTGTCCCACATCGGAGGGAAAGTCCACAGATTGGAAACCTATTGTGTCCAAATTTGAACAACGAGGAGTGGTAGGAGGGAGAACTCTCAGGCATTTTTCTTTTCTAAAGTCCGTATGTTATCAAGATCATAGGAATTAGAGATCATCTAAAGCGTTATGTTATCGTCAAGGGTTTAGCAGACCAACTTCCAACAAGCCCGGTCTGGACATCTTGGGAAAGCTGTTTCATCAGATGTCATCTGCTTCAATTGCAGAACATCTTTACTTTCAGGTCACCAGATGGTGTGCAGGTCCAGTCAGGATTTGGTGCTTGCTTTAGGTGTGTCATGTGAATTCAAGAATCTATTTCCTGGAGTTTTGTGGCCCATGGGTTAGTTAGCAGTACCTGATAGGGGCCTCTCCAGCGAGGTTCAGGAGAGTTCTTCTGGAGGTGTCTTTTCCAATAGATGAAATCTGTGGGTTGCAAAGTGTGTTGCTTAACATCTTCGTCTTCCTGGAGCACACTGTGAAAAGATTGCTCTACTAAAACATGGTTATTTTTAATAGAAGCAATTGGGCCTTTGCAATATTGGAGTACAGTTCCTTTTATCAGCTGTGGATCAAAAGAGGCAGGAGCCAAGTGCATTGGGTGTCCTGTGACTATCTCAAAGGGTAAGAATTTATGAGTTCCAAAGGGGGTGGATCTGAGACTTAGAAGGACCAACAGCAATGCTTTTGGCCAAGGTATTTGGAGGGTCACTACAAATTTTGCCATTGAGTCTTAATAATGTCATCAGTGTGTTTGGCTAAACCAGATGATTAAGGGTGGTAAGTTCAGTCAAAGTGTAAAACCGGCCA